ATTTTATCTTTCACATCATTGACTCCATTTTCAATTACACAATCCTTATTGTGATATCAATTGTATTGTCATTTGGGGACTCGTTTGGTAGTTTTTTTTTCATCCGGTTTCGTTTATTATACTCTGTACTTTTATAGTAGTTAGTAGTTTTGTATTGTAGACAAAAAAAAATTGAATTTGAATAAGTAATTGCGAATGTGTATCAGCATGATACATTCAATTATGGCTTCTTTTTTATGTTCAAGTATTTTCAATGCATTTCTGTTCTGTATAAATTGACATGAGTGATCAAATGTGGGGGGTATTGAGATATGTTAATTAAACTTTCGATTCTCTATTGTTGCAATAACTTTAATTCATGACTTGAGTGGAGTTTATGTCAGGAGATTGTGGTGCTTTATTGGGAGTATTTAAGTTTGCTCATTGGTTTGACACAGCATAATTTGACATTGCTTTGGAGTTTATCATTTTTGACATATATCAAATAAGGGAGACTGGCAGAAATTGCAGGACTTTTGTAGAGTTTGGACTCTTATGAAGAAACTTCGACTTTTTTTGAAAGTGGTTTCAATTAAGTTCAGAACTCACTAGAGACAACTTAAACTTTGTGACCAATAAGGAGTAAAAATTCATTTTTGATAGATGTCATTAGGCGTCGTTTACTCATGATGTTCGAAAATTTAAGGGAGAATGGGGCTAGAATTTTGTGGCAGCTCAATCAATGGAATTTTTATATGTAAATAACCCTTAAGATGACTATCTGCTTGGTTTTTCAGAGGGCAGTCCTCCATTTTTTTTCATTTTTCAAAAATAAAATTATTTTGTTCTAATTCGTCCAGAAAACGAATAAAATTTGTAGACACGACCTTTATTTTTTCATAAAATATTTGGTCACCATACACTCAAATAAATGAACCTTTGAACCTCCTTTGAGAACAAAACCTAGTTTGTGAAGAAAAACCTTGTTTGATTCCACTATTTCAAGTTTATGAATTACCAAAATCCTCCAAATTGCCAAAATAATTCAAGCTTCAAACAGAATTGTCGAGCAACCGAATGTTCTACCTTTAAAAGAACAAACTTCCATTTATAATCCATCGATTCTCAATCATAATGATCCCCTAATGATCTACCAATTCCAATAAAATACCACAGTTCGACTTAATACCACTCAAGTCTTGTAGAATGAGAAGAAAAAGGAATGAGAAAAAAAAATTATGACAATTTTTTTTTTGCTATACTTATCCGACTTAATACTGAGCGTTAGAGAAGAGAAAAAAAATAGGGTAGATTCTTTCATATCCAAACTCAACATATAGTTCAATAAATAGAAAAAGAAGAATGTTTATCCTTTCGTTTTTGTGTGTGTATGTGTGCACTTTCTATATTTTACAAATGATGAAATTCATCGCCTCCTTTCATTTCATGTCCTTTACGATATTTTCCTTAACAAATTCTTTAAATTGACTAGAAGAATGAGCATACAAAAGATGTTTCGAAAAACATTTGTGGAATGACTAGTTGGATAAATAATGGTTGTACTACTACTTGTGATACTTTTGTTTGGTGTCGCAGCAATGTTGGCAGCTGGTTTCTCGCCTGCATTTCACATTATTTGTTGATGTTGTTGATGACAATGATGATATTATTAAGGAAGAATAGAAAAAAGAAAGAAATGCAAACAAATGTTAGTTTTTTTTTCAGCACAAAACAAATTTTTATATCTAGTCTACAAAAAAAATAAATATGTTGTATGTTATGAATGTAGGAATAGAATATGAGAGTAATACAAAATGTCAGGGGAAAGGAATTTTTTTTAAAAGCTTTTCTTCTTTGGGATACTTTACAAATTATTGTTTTTGAAGTGGGGTTTTGTAGCTATAGCTTCCGAATTTCCATTGGAAAATATTCATAAGTAAACAACTTAGAATTTTTTATAAAAACAAATTTTTAAGAAGGAAAACATCAAACTTTGTCTAAGCATTTTTGTCAATAATTCTCTTTTGATGGAAGTACATGGAAAATTAAAAAGAAAAATAATTTTGTCAAAAATATCTTCTCAGTGAATGCGTTTAATATTATTAATCTGAAGCAACATCGCATTAATTTTGTGTTGATGATTTTGACAAAGAAAATCTCAAAGAATTTTCTGAAATTTTTTTTAAGATAGCGGCCTTGAAGTGATGGATAAAAGAGACTTTATGCAATTTGTTTCGCTTGTCTTGAAGGCCATAGACATTTTTGATGTGCAGTCAATTGAAGTGAATGCGGGAAAATTATTTTATCGGAGGAATTTGATTAGCTTTATGTCAGAAGGTCATGAGAAAATTGTTGAATTGTAGCCACGGAACCCATGGATATCAAAAGCTATAAACAGAGCTTTAACAGAGAAAAATTCGGATTCTTAGACTCTAGTCATGGACAATAAACAACTGCGATCCTTATGAGCTATAAGGAGGAATCATGAAATTGAATGTGAATCAGGGGCGCAGCCAGGGGGTCCTTAGGGTGCCCGGGTATTTTTTAACTTTAAACCGTAGTTGATTAATTAAAGCTAATTATTTTAAAGTAAGAACATAAACTTAGCTTTTAATAATCGAATAGAGAAGGTTTTATCTATTTTTTGAATTTAAAATGTTCTTGCTTCCCACCGCCACATAAAATTTCTGGATACGCCCTTGACGTGAATTTTTGAAATTCTAGTTAAAATTTGTCATATATTCAAAAAATGCAATCCTCGTATCCCCTGCCCCCCAAAGGTTCCCATCCCTTGAAAACTCACAAAATAAAAACGAAAAAAATGAAAACAGGTCAAACAAAAAGAACTGTAGCGCATAATTCACTCTATATTGCATGTAGATAAAATTTATGATGCCTTTTATGCACCTACCTATATAAATGTCTACTTATATGGGAATGTGTATGCATAAGCATTTCTCAAAATGAAAAGTATGTCTTGTACATTTATGGAAGAAGAATAATTTTTTTGTCTTTAAAATCACACAAATTTGGGACAATTTCAAGACATTAATTGAGTTTTCAAGATGCATGTGCATGTGAACATATTATGCCATAAATTTATCATGTATGCTTTCGATACTAATATTTTATACGTGTGATTCATACGGAATGAATATTGTCAACTTCAAATATTAAAATATTATTATTTCGGAGCCATTTTCAGCACATCGGTGCAGGAAAAGAGGGGTGGGGTCTATGTGTGGATATCTCCGCAAGGCAGAAAAGCTTTCGTAAGCATAAAATTTCTTCGCCTTAATGCGATTCGAGAAAATTTTCAATCCTCTCAGAAAATATGTGAAAATGATATAAATTATGGAGCCAAAAAAACCTCTCTTCTGCCTGTACAAATTCAATGCTACCAGCTTTATCGTTTGCCAAAAATTGGAATTAAATTCTTTAACTTTATACCTCCTTTTATCCGTTTATACATTCATACCAGAAACATTTTTTTTTTCTTCTTACTCTCATGTGTGCATGTTCAATCTACGTATGTGTACATTTCATTTGCAGAAGCAGCAGCAGCAGTAGAAAACTGCACATATAGTGGAACATTATTTTTTATTGTGTTGCAGACAGTATCGCATGCATATTGAAATGCACATATATACAAATTTTCAAATGCGACAATTGTGTGGATAACTTGAGTAATGGCTTTTTCTGCTAACAAGCTTTTTCATGTCCAGTGGGCAAATTTTCATACATATACTGCAAAAATAAAACTTTTTTTATTAGAAAAACGGCAAGTTGAAGAAAAATTTTTCGAATGCTCTCTTCCTTCCTTTATAAAATGTATGTGAAAATAAATGAATATTTTCCTACTTAAATGCTTAAGGACATTAGCAAGTTAGTAGATGTACGAAATGAGTGCATAATTGAAAATTCAAGTTTTTTATAGCAAGTGTAATGAAAACTCTTACATTCGTTTAGTATTTATGCTTGAAGCACATGAAAGAAATTAGCAACAATTATGCGTAGAGATGGGAAAGTTAAGTCTCATACATTTGACGTTGTGTTTTTATTATTTTGTTTTATTTTATTTTTGTGCTGTCATGTAAGGAACTTTTTTCTCATTTCCATGCTTTATATTCAAGTTTAGTATATGTTAGTCATTTTTTGTAATGGGTTGACTTCCCTTAGAATGGCTGTAATTAGTAACATTAAGTTTGTAGATTCTTCAAGGCACATATAATCTTGAAACTATCCTTTTAGCTTTATCTCAATATTAACATTGTTTACGAGATTTTGAGCATTAACTTTGGGATTTTACAGCCTGAAATAAGGAAATGCTTTTACTTTTAAGCTTTCATTAATTTTTGGACACTTGTGTTTTTGAAATAGTTCCATTGAGAAGAATAATTCCGAATAACGGATCCCGTGTGGGACTCGAACCCGATAAAAATTTTAAAAATAATTCCATCCATAACAGAGAAACTTACTGCCTTTAAAAATGCAGCTATTCTTCGTTTGAAGTATTTTGTTCAAACATTTTCCATCCTCAAATCTACTCTTGAATGGATTTGATACTTTACATTGTTTCTAAAACTTAAAATCAAAGATACTTGTAGGTTCCTAAATTCAAAGAATTTCTAATGATTGCCTTGCCAAAAAGATTATAGAAGAAATTAAACTTTTACCTATAAAAGTGAAAAACGGGTTGTCGACAGACTGTTCATTATGAAATAAAAACCAACCGAAGATATCAGAAAAAATTCTCGAAATTCTACTCAACTGTCTGCTCACAATGAAAACCAACAAACATTTCTTCCAAGGACATGAGACATAATGCAAAGTAGCTGTTAGCAAAATTACCAAACATTTTCGTTACGGCAAAAAAAAGTGCTACACAGCATACAAACGTATACTATACGAGCAGTAAGTGAAGTAAGTTCTTTTTGTTGCTGTTTGTAAAAAGGATGATAAGAGTGAGACAAGTGTTTGTGACTACATAAAAGTATAATAAAAAAAATGTAGAAGAAATTTTATGAATCTTCTGAATACGAACCTTTTAGCACATGTACGTATATACTCGACTGTCTAGCATTGGCTGGGGCACACGTGTAATTACCTAAATTACAAAAGACATAGAAAATGGAGAATTAGAAGAAAGAAAAGTTATACAATATATTGTTATAAGCGTTATAAGTGATAACCTTAATTTTCTCTAGCTATTTTCTACTCATTTACCTCCATGTCTTGCAGTCGCATTTCTCACAGTCAGAATACTTGAAGTTAATTTAGATGCTACAGAAACTCCATCCTCATGATCGTAATTTATCATTCTATCTTCGTGATACCTGCATAAGAAAATTTAGAGAAATATACACAAGTTTAATTTTATTTAATGAATCGAGTGAAAAGTTTCATTTCAATATTTTATTTCAGTCAGAGTTGGGGTTTATAGGTTGTCTTAGGTATGAAATGTTCAAAGCTCTTGATGTATTTAGTATTGAAATGATTAAGTATGACAAATGCTAGTTTGAATCAAAGACATGATTTTCTTAGAATAGTAGGGCGTAGCAAAATGTGAGGTTTGATTCCTAAAATGTGTAAGTCTGATGAATCACAGATTTTGATCAATTTTCCCTTAATTAGTCTAATTTAATCTTAAAAGGATCTTGGTTCAAGTTTTTAAAAGCCTTATTTAATAGAAGGATATCCTATGGAGATACCTAGCATTAATTATGTAGTACAGTGTTGTGCAAACTTTTTAAGCAACGCCACACCTAATAAGTAAGCCATAACCCTTTAGAGGTATAACCCCCCCCCCCATAAGCCATTAGACAGCACTGGTTTAATTATTAACTAGACCTTACTGAGGTCAAGGTCAAGCTATTAAAGTATAGTGTCTATTTGGCGTATATTACGGTTGTTGCTTAACAGTTTTTGGCTTGCAGGAACCTTGAACAATGAAGCTATATCCAAAATTTACTTAATTAATTTGCTAATCCAGTTGAAATTCAACCCACAGTAAATTCCGGAAGTCTAAAAAAATTAAATCCGTCTTAACCAATCCAAGCATTCAAAGCTTACAACACTGAGCTTTTTCATGTCTACAGATACAAAGACTGAATATGTTCATAGAATAAGAAAGTAGAAGATGCAAAAATAAAGATAAATATGTCTCTCGACATGTTGAAAGTCACAAGAGGAATAGAAACAATAGAAAATTGTGACTTTCAAGTGTTCTAAAGATTCAATCGATTGTAATAAATTTAACATTTAAATCCTTACCAGAAAACATATAATGGACTCTCCGTAGCACGTTTCAGTTTGCATTCTAATCTTAGTGTGGACCCTTCATTTATATGCAAATCAGGAGCTTCTATTATTTCAGCTACCGCCTCTGTTTGAATTAAAGATGCAAAGACAAGATAGACATGGAATTATAAGAAAATGAATATTGTTATTGAGTGCTAGAATAAAAAAAAAAATTTTGTGAGCAGTTTTCATTATTTCCTTCGCAATTTTTAACGCAAATTAAGTTTTAATAGTGCTTAGACTTTGAGCATAGAATTGAAGTTTAATGAATTGAATTAAATTAATTTAAACTAAGCTTTTTCATAAACTTACTTCTCCATGCACATTGTAAGATAGAGCTAATTGTAAATTTATTAGCTTTTTCTTATCCTATTCAGCTCTATGCTTTTCCATTACGAGAAATATTTTTACATTGCATAGTCTCGTATTGCAAATTTATTTCCTCTCTGCTTACCAACATTAGAAAAAGTTTTTTTGTGGGTTTATTTTCGGAGAATTCTTCTTCATTTAATTAAATAGCTAATCCTAAGTTTTTAAAGATTTCTAGGAAATTGAAATGGATATTTAGAGCACTTACCATCATTAAAATTTCATTCCATTGTTCTGTTTGACGGAAAATTTTGGAATGTGTGAAAATCATAGTTTTGAACTGAATTCGTTACTAAGGGTTGGAACGTGAATCAACGATTTTGAAACCCTTTTGTCGATTGTCAGGAATTTGCAAGCTGGTTTCAATATTCAAATTTAAAGGTTTCAAGACTGCCCCCATACATATACTCTTTTCTTACCTAAACCCTACTCATATCTTAACACTTCCTATAACTGAACCAAATTCTTACTCATTTCCTTTACATTTGCTGCCTTTGAAAAATTCTACGGACCTCAATCGTATATACTTGACTGTAGTACTAGATTGTATGCTAAGCTAGGAAGGAAATTCTGGGAAATTCGATATACCAAAATATAGGGCATAAATAAAATAGATTTAGACTAAGGTAGGGTGCTCCAGGTAGCTCTAGAAAATAGCCCATGAGTTATCCATCTCAAAAAACTGAATTAGCCCAAAACCAACAAAAATGACCAAAAAAGGATCAAAAAAATTTATCGACGAGGATGAGATTCGAACTCACGCGGGCAGAGCCCATTGGATTAGCAGTCCAACCTATTAACCACTCTAGCACCTCGTCGTCACACTTGTTTTTACCTTTGGATAATTTAATGTTTTTATACATATCAATATTGAATAGTCGTGCTTCTATTTTATTGGCATTGCTGATAATAATTTTAAACTGCAATAATTTTAAGTCGTTTTAAAACAATTAAAGAATATTTGATTAGTAATTCTTTTAATTGTTCAGAAATGAAAGCATTAATGATAAAAGACGGTTAGATAAAATCGTTAAAATTCCCAAAATATATTCGAATAGTTTTAACTAGTGCAGGAGCGTAGCCATTAATTAAAAGAAAGGGACAGAAAAATATTATATTAAAATTATGGATACTTTCATAAAAACCCTAGAAAAAAAAGAAAAAATTTCTGTCAACGTAGAAGGTTTGTCACCCAAATCCCCCCCACTTCCTTGACTACGCACCCGAACCAGTGGTGTTCCACCTTTTTTGTACCACGGCACTCTTGCTGGGAAATCATGACCAAAACCGCACAAAGCATAAAGTTCATAGATTTTTCTGAATTTTTCGCTGCACACTAGTGCGCAACGGCACATAGGTTGTGCGTCACTGATTTAAACTCGTCCACATTATTGCAATTATTTAAAGTTTACAAAGTTAAATTATTCATTCGAAAAACGTAATTTCTAGTTATCAAATAACTGAACTAGTAATTTAAACAGCAATAATATGAAAGTATTTAAATAACTATTTCAACCAAATTCCATAAAACCAAGAAGAATTGAATTTACTGTAATGGAAAAAAGAAGTTGAAAATTATTGCATATTTTAGATGTGACTTTTTTTTCATAGCGTTCAAAACTTCAACCTCAGGCAGCAAGCAACAATGCAGTAATAGAAAAAGTTCGAAGGATAACGATTTCATGTATGAATTATTCAGTTTATATGGAAAAACTTTCGAAATTACATCATGAAATAGTTGACAATCAGAACTTCCCACTCATACATAAAGCTAGTAAAATTATAATGCCATATAATGTCTTCTTCACATCCCCCTCATCTTATATTATCTTTCTCTATAGTTATTAGATAAATAAGTAGCTTAGTATAGAATGAAATCCGACCATGAGAAATTAAATGTTTTCTCGTAATGGCAATAAACTCTGGAAGGAGTATAAAGCATACATATCCTTATATCTATAGAAACAGAACATGTATAAACACAGCAAAATTAGCAAATTTAAGTTCCTATTGTTCATTAAATGATACATAATGTGTTAAATAATAATAAGAAACGAGCAAATTACTGTGGCGTGGAATTATATTGAAAAAAAAAAATAATTTCCACCGCACGATTGTATAAAATTATGTGGAATCACATGCTATACATTCCGTAACACGCCCATTAGCTTTCTAGACGTCCACAGAATTTTAAATGCTTTAACAATAAAATGCTTTTCTTGTATTTTGTTTGCTAAGGTTTTATGTTTGAACGCACATGCATATATTATAAAGATAGTTGTGTGTTCCTATGTGCTTGTTTTGCGGTATTGAGAAGCAAATATTTGCTTTTATGGGAAGAATTTTACGATGTTGAATTTTCTTGAAATATCAAAATAGTTCGGGGTTTATTACTGAGTGATTTTGTGGGCATTAAGTGCTGAGATGAAGGTTTAATGGCAATTTGAAAATTTTTGAGGGGGTTCGTCAGGAGGGTTTGGTAGCGAATGTCATTAAACTTTTTAAGAGATTTTAAGTTGGAAATCTAGATTTAGGGTTGGAGATGTTGTAGATTTTTGCAGATAATTGTTATTTTCTGATGATCTAAAGCAGTTTTGTCCAAACTGTATGCCGCGGCACATTATTTTTGATAATGACGCAAGCCGCATGCTCTGTGCGACTTTGGTCATAGTTTACCCCTAAAGTGTGCCGTGGCGCCAAAACTTTTGACAACACTGATTTAAAGGAAGATTTTCTTGAAATAATGCAAATTTGGAGGGAGAGGGGGGGGGGGGGGTGAGGTTTATGAAATAAAGGTTTAGATTATGTTCAAATCAGTGACGTTTTTCATCCTTATATTGGGATAAGGGAGGAGTTTTTATCTCAATTTAAATTTAAAATGATCTCTCATCATTTTTCTGTATCTTAAAAACAAAGCATAAACTTGTCAATGTTTCCGATTTAAAGAAACAATTATTAAAAAAAAATTGAAATATTGAAATTTGTGTCCCTCGGGCTTTTAAAAACCCTTGTAACGCTACTGAAGCACACAAAAATTACAAAATAATTAGAGAATCTTCTTAAGCCTCGCAATATTTAATTGGAATTTTCCTACGTAAAAAGCCTAATGGATTTTCGAAGAAAATAATGAGAATTCTGTAGAATTTCTTATTTTCTTCAACCTAAATGGATTAAAATCACTGAAGGAGACAAAATACGTATTACTTAACATTGATACAAACTGTCAATTCTAAAAATGGATTTTCCATAACAATTTGACAGCCTTTTCGAATTTAATTGCGAATTTAAGGAATAAAAACTGCTCAAAAATAAATTTTTTAAAAATAAATTATGAATCAATAACTCACCTACTATCCTAAGTTCAATAAATATAGATTCGGGTGGATGCGTCGATAGCTGGCACTCATAAATCCCTTCATCCTCTTTCTGGGCATTTCGTATTCTTAAAGCCCAATTACCTAGATGTCGCGTATGTTCTACTAGAAATCGATCATCACTACTATACGTACTAAGTCCAACAGTCAATAATAAGAAATCTTTTCGTCGAAACCAACTGACCTGAATTGAAATGCGTATTTTATAGAAAAAAAGAAAACAAAATCACGTAAACGACTTTTTTTCCATTGCAACTGACAACAATAATGACAGAAGTAAACATTAAATAAACGTTGAATAAAGCGAGAATAAATAATTGGAATATAATTCAACAACAATACATCAACAAAGGAATTTAATGATTAATTTATGAAGCTATTTTGAAAAGAAAATTTTGGGATATAAGGATCAAGGTCAGGTCAGGAAAATTAAAATTTGTTTTGGGATATTTTTCGCAAAAAATAAGCAGAATGAAAATAATAAAAAATCCTAATAAAGCATCCCTCTCTGCTGCGCGTCTTTAACATTAAAATATTATATTTACGTTTGAGGTCTATCATAAATGATGTCTTATTTTTATGGAAGTAGGGTGATCTGCCGCATTATGCAACTTATGTGCTAAAGAATTATTTTTTGTTCCAGAAAAAACTGACATTCATTCATACAGTTTCAGACACCCCACAAAAATCATTTGCAAACAACCCCCAAAATTGTCCATCGTTTAATGGAACTTAATGCTTTAAGCTCTTGTTTTCGGAAAGAAGAAGATGAAAATTCACTTTCAACATCTTCCGCACATAAATTTCTAATGCGATATTGCTATAATTTCTAAACCGAAATAGAAAACACAGCCCTTGACACAGGCAAAATACTCCCAACGACTTTTTTCATATATTATTCAACATGTTTTGAAATGGAATTTTCATGTCGTAGTTCCTTCACCTTTTTTTTTCTTGCCTTTCATGATGTTATTTCGTTTTTTTCGCGCTTACAGCGTAGACAGTTCCAATGAATTTTTCGGCATTATTTTTAGTTCAAATATTATTTTAATAAGCAAATATTTTTCAAAACGGTTTTGGATTTCCACGAATTGTTTTTTGATTGAAAAAAGATCAGAATTTAATTTATGTTTTTGACATTTTAGTCGGAATTAATGTAAAGTATGGATGCTCGATATTGAAAAATAATTCTTTGAAAATTATTTTGGCTAATACTGGTTTTTGGGGCTGTAGAAAAATTTTACAATATTTTAATGCAGTGGTGCATAACCTTTTTTGTGCTACGGCACGTCTTAGTATCTCTGACATACGATTCGTAGACTTATCTGAATTTTTTTCGTTGCATATGGGTTGGACATTACTGCTTTAATGAATTGATTGTTTTTAAAACCTTTTAAAATTCACAGAATTCTATATTAATAAATTTTTGAACAAAATATCTCATAACTACTATTAAAGGGATAGATAATTGAAGTGCTGAATTTTCAAACATAAATAATTCCTCAAATCTATTACGTATGTAACTATTTTCTGGTCAGTAAATTATATGTAATTTTCAAGCAAATTACAGTTTTTGAGAATCTGAATAAAGTTTCAATAATAGAATATAATATAATATAAAAGGCTAATTAAGCTTTTAAAAGCTTCAGAAAATTATGATTTATTAGAATTGGAAAAAAAACATTTATAATCATTCCAACTAGAATCTGGCATTGTTAAATGATTCTATGGTTTTAAAACATTTAAACTCTACTTTAGTTATGCATTTGATAGTGTGCTGCGTCAATGGAACCTAATCTTTACAGTTTAACTGGGATCAAGACGAATTTTTCATTGACATTTCCCTATCGTTTATTACCCCAGTAGTACTTTTACCCAGTGGTATTTTTGCCCATCGATTGTTTTCCAATTGATTATTTGCCCAGTGGCACTTTTGCCTACTCATACTTTTCCCCATCGATTGTTTGTTGCGCCCTTGACTTCTAGAATTACTGGGCTACATCCCTCAAGTCATTCCAAAAATTTCTTTTGAAATATTAATTTTCCTATTTAAGGTCAAAGTAATTGTTGTGTTTATCCTTGGCTTATACAAGTCGTTTAGGTGTCAACCTAAAAAATCACTTTTCAAGAATTTTCCTTGACATTCTCACAAGTTTTCACGGCCACCACTTTAAGAATAAACGATGTTCTGCATAAATAATTTCTTAACTGCTGTTCTTTTTCAGTCGATTTTCTTATCGATTTTCTATATTTCTAAATTTTTTACTTCTTGTCACCTAAATGCCTGTCATTTACTTAGATTACTGACTGTGAATATAATTTGACCCTTGGGTTGAATAGTTGCCACATGACTACAATTTACTTTATTGGTTCAATTACTCAAATTTTAACAATACTGGCTGTTCCATATTCTCATAAAAAAATTGATAAAAACCCAAAATTAAGCCATAACCAATGAACGTCTACCCTTAGTCTGTAAAAAAATAAATTTAATTTTGTAATATGCTGAAAGGTTCAATTTTGTTCAAATATAAAGCCTACAACAGATGTGAGTATGTGAAAAACATTGTCCGTCCTCAGGCTATACCCACAATACTTTTAAAAGAATTGTGTAAGTCATGTTTAATATTGTATAAATGAAGTCTCTGTTCACCTTGACTTTCTCACATATTTTACATTAACACCTTTCATTTATTTTCACCATTTTGTGCCTGAGTTGGAAACTGAATTTATTCGATCAATATTTTTCGTTCATATAAATACTCAGGCTAAACTTTATGTGTGTGAATGTAAACCCGTTTGCTTACAATATGTTTAACATAATGTGAACAGATGAGTGCAGGTAAAAAAAAGCTCCATGTTCATAATTTAAATAGATTTAATATTATTATTGTTTGGCAATTCAATACATTCGATGTGGTGAAATTGCCAAAAAAAAGAGAAAACAGCAAATGGTAAGGAGCTTAATGTATAAATTTTGTTCCTCGTTTTTCTCCATTGTGCATTGACATTATGTTGTTGAGGAAAGCTATTGAAAGCTGAATAGGTCTTAAGATGACAGCATCAGTGACTTTATTTGAATGAGAAATCATGAAATAAATTTTCTTTTGTGTTTTTGTGAATGTCTTTATGTGTGGAAGGGGTTGAGAATGAGCGAATTTGTTGGAATATTTAGGTGGGGTTTGGAAAATTGGTTCTTAATATCTGATAGATTCACAAGATCCCATTCAAACTTTACTAATGGGTCGTTCACTAATGAGTTTTGGAGAAGAACAATCTCTAATAACCAAAAAGTACTATCATCCTATATAGCACAAGTCGGTTAATTGAATATAAATAAGGCACCAAGCCGGAAACGATTTCTTCTGGTATAAAACCCAAAACTATTTCTATAATTGAAAACCTTTGCTTGATGTCCACAAGAATCGAGTCACTCAACTTAACGGTTTCATATAAAGTCCGAGTCTGTCTTGATACCAGAAGCGTAGTCATTAGGAATTAATAGACAATAATTGAAGATCAAGTGTAAGTTCTGAATAAGCAGCTTTTAACTTTCCTAATAAATTTTCACAGCTTCTCGTTTATCAGAGACTCTTACTTAATTTAACTGTAACCTTGCTTTTATGTGGAGCTTACAAAAATATACAACAACCAGAGACTCTAACGTCCTTTAAACACTTTATTTTATTTTATTGTACAATGAGTTCTCGTCCCTTGCTTGCTCCACGAGATATTTAAAAATGAAAAAGAAATAATTCCCAACGAGCAACCAGCAAACATCAAATTCAATATCATATAGCTATATATTTTATCAACATATCGGTACTTATGTAAACATATAAATTTTTAAAAAGGAGCGTTGGCCTATCCTTTTTACATTTGTAACCTTTTCTCTTCTTATGCCTTCATATGAGATAAGAAGTAAAAAAAGACATAAGAAAGGAAATCCATAAAATACATAAAGGGAATTGTGGAATTTTTTTCTTATTTCTCTTCATTCATCGTACTCTTAAATTCATTTCTAAAGCACACACAAAGAAAAGTAAAGCATACAGCGAAATTCATAAGAATAGAGTTCGTTCTTATATTTTTCTTTCAGTCTTCTTTATTTTTTTTTTTCGAAAAAAAAAATCTCATTTGATATTTTAATTCATGGACTCATTTCGAATTCTGTTTGCGAAATGAAACCTCAGATAGAATGAGATATTCTTTAGAAAAAAAGGCGAATGAACATAAAAAAATTTTCTTTCCTTCGTTATTTTTTTTTTCAGGGAAAAGACATGAATTTTAAATTCTATAGATAAACTTTCATTCCTCCTTTCAATTTTTATTTTCGTGCCTTCCAAACTAAGTTGTTTTTCAAAAAACAACTCTACTATTTCTTAAAATGATTACTCAACTCCCTTTTGGCCTTTCAATAGTCACTATGAATGGATTATAATGTATTGGCTATTGAACTCTTGCTTAAGTACATTCATTCAATATATTTCACTCAAAAAAAAAGGAATCTACAAAATTCATGTTTATTTAACATTGACTTCCAGGTGAGAGGAAATTGCAATTTTTCATCAATTTCAATATGAATGCAAATCAGACTAGTTGAAATGGGAATGGATGAGATATCAATCAATGTGAATGAAATTATTGAAAACAAATTAAAAGTCAATCGGTTGCATTTTGCTTCATTTAAGTATTCATGGTAATTTTTGAAGAGCTCATGATGATTTTTCATTCATTCGTAAAATCGTTGCTAGCTTCAGTTTATTGAAAGAATGATGAGCTAACCCGAATAGCACAAGTCGGTTAATCGAATAGAAATCTAATTTCAAGCCAGCATGACTCTGGAAAGCTTCGTTTTGAATCCAGCACCATGCCAGATTCACACCAGCATGGTGCTAGATTTCTGATCGATTAACCGACTTGTACCATTCGGGAAACTGTTCCTCTTCAAATGCTATCGGTACTAATATTCTAGCGAGAAGCAGTAATATCAAATTTTGTTTAAATTGCTTCCATTGGCCCTACTTGACTTATTTATTACTTACTTTCCAACTGACTCTGTTGCTGGCTCTGTCACCTTGATTGTACAACTTCTCTTTCTACACATTCAGCTGAAATTCTTTCCCTACGATATATCCTCAGGGTCGAAGCAACAAAATTTTCAAGGAGTTTTCAAATTTTTTTGTGTGAAAAAATCCAGGGCAGATTTTTTTTAATTTTTTCTCACAAAAATCCTAGAAAACTGAAGAGTTTCTCGCAGGGAGGGAGGATTTATCACCCTAATCCCCTCTGGCTGTGCGTCTGGTCCTCCTTAAATGTCATAAGTAAATGTCTAATCATGGGGATGGTGAGGTCTAAACCTCAAAATATTTCAACTAGCAGCTCTTTAATTTTAAATATTAAAAAAAAACTAATTTGCCATTTTTAAATAAAAACTACTTACTAAACGCTTCTTTTTGGTTGCACGGAAGTCAACAACTCTATCCAAGTTTTTTATTAAGTTCCAAAAGAAATCCTTTGTTTTCATTAAATTTTCTCGATGTCCGATCGTGAAGAAACAACTTCCTTTTTTTGTTTGCATTTTTGCTTTCCGACTTTATGCTTTTAAGGTTTATTTTGCAAACAAAACAGGCAGAAGCTTCTCAATTTTTTTACTATCATATTTTTTTCAAACAAAAAAAAGCTTTTCTCCTCACAAGAATTTCCTTTTTGAAGTGGAATATCTTCAGAAGGTTGCTTTCTTACTCACTTGTTATGAATATTTTTTTCAACTATTAAAATATGGAAGAGGACTGGAGTGTATTTGGGGAATATTAGACCTCAACCTAAGTTCTCTGGATCATTAACACATCCAGAGCTCTTCAAAAACAGATTCTAATCATTTTATTGAGTTACAACTGATTAAACTAAGAATAAGTAACAACTTAAATGCTTAAGTGTAGCTTGATCCTTCGAGAACCCTTATTACACCCCTAGATAAAGGGATGATGGGTATAAAAGAAAAAAATCACAGAAAAAAAACGACTTTCGTCTTTGTTAAGTTTATTGATCTTTGATGCTCCTTGAATACGAATATTATATTCTACGGCTCTTGTTTGAGCTCTCAAAACCACCCCGGAAAATATTTGTGAATATACAAAAAAATTCTACGAAGGGAAATATTTTTAAGTTAAGCTGTAAAACCTTTTTAAATAGATTTCTATTATTATTATTATTATTAAATGAGGAAAATTCAGAAAATACATATGAAGAATTTAAAGAAAATGAGTATGGCATGAAATTATAATGAAGTTTTCAATTTCACTGCTTTTGTTAGACTTGTCTTAATATGAGAAGCGATTGCGATACGATCCACCCCTCTTTTTTCGTATTCAGCTCATCGTCTTCATCTAGTGTAGTTTCATAAACAATAGATTAACCAAAACTGAGCAAAAAAGAGAAAACTCTCAAGTTTCCATTCGCGTCTTATCTTAATTGTCTAAAGCATGAATGTTAAATTTCGACATACATCAGAAACGGATATAAAGAGAATCTTCTATCATTAAATTTAGATTTTTTTCGAGGAAATGTTTAAAGAGGTGGAAAAAGAATAGATTTGGCTTTGGGATTTTCTCATATGAGCTTTATCAGCGCAGTTTTTCTAGGCTTAAAGTGAGATTATTGTGTTTTATTGTTATTATTTTTTTGATTTAAAAGTTAATGAACCGCTTTTGAGTCAACTGAGCTTAATTGAAAATTTATGAGTTGAAAAATTTTTGTTTTTTAACTTTTTTATTATTTGAACAGTTTTTAAAAAGTTTGTTATACTAAAATTGGTTACTTTAGTTTGAAAATAGGACACACGTGATTTTAAAACTATTTTAAATAATTACACAGATGATGGACAGAATTACACATAATTAATAAACTTTCCACCAGAATTCTCTCAGTAAAATAAATCAACTTTAACTGCACTGATTTCAAAGTAATTTTCTCTACGATCATTTTAGTTGTAGATCGGACAACTTGATAAAAGTTCTATCAAGTAAAATAGCAACCTTTCATATTAAACACGCTCAAATTAAGGATATGAAAAAAAAAATCTATCCTTAAGTGCCATTAAAGAGGCAAACAGAATCGAAAAGACATTTCAAACTTCAATTAAATTTTATCGATTTTGACTTTTTCTCCCCACATTTTAGTTTCGCACACAGGATAAAGGAACAGGAAGAGAGAAAAAAAAATTTGAATAATGTTTGTGATCCCTCCCGTATTTTCTCAGTTCTCCATTCTCACCAATTTCATTCCAATCTGTGTCTATTTAAGTATTTCATCCTCGCCTGTGTCAGTGACGTAGGCGATTCCATGTGTTACAATTGAAAACTCGAGCAAATTAGGAGCTCGCCTTAATACACCACTGATTCGTGTCTTACGTCTACTTTGGCTGTGCTTTCTCTTTCATTCTCAATTTGCAGAGGGATTGCTTTAGATAGGATTTTAAAAATATAAATACTTACTTACAGTGGCTGGTTGTGACATTGTTACACTACAAGGTAGAATTGCGAGTCCTCCTCGCTGGCTGATCACGCGAGTGCTATTTTTCGTTATAAAATGTGTATGTACAGGTGATAACGAGTTTTTGTGCATGTTTTTTAGGTCGTTGGAATCTGTGAAATGAAACGAAAAAAAAAGAATGAAAAATAATCAATTTTAAGAATTTATGAGCGAACAGATTTTTATTTTTCACCGCCTCGACACTTTCTGCTTGACGAATTTCAAATGACTTTTTTTTTGTATTCACAATGAAAAGCTTAATGTAAGCTGGTTTTAGATGTTAAAAATAACTGATTCGAATAAGGTTGACGCACGAAAATTCCATCAATGATTCTTTCACATGAAACATTGAGTTCTGATTTGTAAGCCTCTTTTTAAATAATTAAAAAATTAAGAACTTTTGTTCAAGCGAAGCTCATTGTTCATGCTCACGCAAAAAAAATTATGAAGGCAAGTTTTCAATGAAGCAGAAAAATCGATAAATGTAAAATTATTCAGAAAGGAAGAAAAACTCAGGTTAGTAATTAAATAATTTTTTTGTTTTTCATTATAGAGCTTTGCATTAATTCTTAATTTTATTATAAAGTTTATTTATGGAACAAAATGGAACTTAATCAGATTTTTATTTTAAAAAAAAAATTCATTGAGTTATTTAAAACTTTATGTCTTAGTGATAAATGTAGAAGTTTGTCTCACTTCCAGACTAGAATTGTTGTAAAATTTAAAACGGACGATTTTAAAAGAAAGTAATAGAAGGAAATAAAGAAGATCGAATCAAAGAAGATGACCAAATGCAGGAGCTAGAAACGTAACCAAGAGAGGGAAGAGATTGGTAACAAATCGACAAAAATTGAAACGACCTTAAAAATCCCCCCTTCAAATATCTTGCTCCACCCCTGTGCAGCACAGCTATTCTAACTTAGAGTGCTGGTAAGAGAAACATTATTGTCAACTTTTCTCGAGTCAGCTCGAGTTGAGCTAATTTTTTTTTCGAGTCAAGAGAACTCGCTTCGACTTCGAGCTTTGACTTTAATAAAAGAAGAATTTGAGATTTTGATTTTGTAAAAAAAAATAATATTTTTCATAGAAAATCGGTAAGAGAAGCGGAGGGACTTAATTAGCAGCTGATATTTAATTTTTATAACAAAAGAGAAGTTAAAGAGGAAAAACAAAAAGCTTTTTGATTTTTTAGTAATGAAAAATTTGTAGCAAAGTTTGAGTGAGCTAGTCGAAAAGATATATTTTTTGTGTGACGCATGTTGGGGAATCTTTATTAAAAATTGATTTAAATTTTTCCGTAAATAGATTTCAAACGATTTTCAATGTTCCATTCGAAAAATATCAACACTGATAATTTGAATTTATAATGTTGATTTGATTTAATAATGTTGAATTTATGTCTGTTAATACTGATAATATATCAATTAATACAATATTAGCTAATTTGCCTAATCTGCTTTTATTATTGTAATTTAATGTCTTAAAAGCAGTAATCAATATCTTAATGTATAATTAGAAAATGTTTTTGCAAATTAAACAAAATTTCGATATCATTTCATGCATTTTGCATTATTGACATGCAAAATGTCAAATTAATTGAAGAGAATTGTTGAAAAAATAAAGAGTTTTTATTGAAGAAAAATAAAACAAATTCCATAATTCTTAAAATTGTTTGAAGTGATTTTAAAAGTTAAAATTAGTCAAATTTCTTATTTTACATGAAAAAAGACTTGAAAAAATTTTAATCTCACCCTTTTGAAAATAATTTTAAATTAACTTTTTTGCGACAATTGAATCGAAAAACTTAATGTTGAAAAATAATGAAGGTAACTTTATTTTTTGATCAACTGAAGTTGTGCATTTGAAAAGTTATGCTTAATAAGTGTTCAAGAATATTTTTAAAAGTTACACGCTCCTTATTTTAGTTGTTAAAGGATTTTATCAAAAAGAGCGAAGGTTTGAGAACCATTTCGAGCTAATGTCTTTAAAAAACAGTTGTAGTTTCATGAATTTTTATCCACATCGTTTTCAATTTGATGAAGATTTGAACATTACCTGAACTACGTATTTAAAATATTAATTTTACTGCTTGCTATTATAAATGCTAATATTAATTTTTGTACATAAAATAAATTAATTACTTCATTAACTACCTTCTAATTAAGCCTATTGTAGTTCCTTTAATTAAGTTATTTTTAAATTTGCAATTTAATGCCACAATCGTTGCCAACTGCATGTAAAATTCATTTGAAAATTTTCCATCTCTCTAATTAATTTTAATTTATTACTCTGTTTTGGTTTTTATTGTTCATAGTTTTAAACAAAGTTTTAAATAAAATGAGAGAAAATCTCTTTCAATTTTTTCAACTCTCGTTTAAAGTGCATTAAAGCTTTTTCTGAAAAATAATTTATTTTAACACGAAAAATAAATTATTTAAATTTTATTCGACAAAATGTGAAATTCGAAACATTTGATTATTTTTATTTCATATAAATCACAATTTATTAAATAAAAGGATTGAAAAAAATTCAATAAATCTCGATAAAATTAGATTTGAGTTGTGACGCAGTTCAATTCGCATGTGAATTATCACAATTTTTATAATTCAAAAGATGAGATGTGATGAGTTATAAGCCCAACCCCAGTGAATATTGACTTACAATTTGAATTAACCTTTCGAAAATGTTGAGGAAAAGCAAATGTTGAGCTTTAAAGAAATTAAGAAGCGTTTAATATAAAATTTTTGATTTTTGATATAAATCAATATACTTTAAGAATGTCTCAGGGATTATTTTGGGATATTTAGGATAGTTTCCACGCCTTGCAAATTACCACCCCTTGCTTTCCTGGAAAGCAAAACACAACTTGAAAGAACATTTACTGGAAGTAGCTTCAAAGAGTTCATATCAAAGATGAATTTGTAAAGATTTTTTTTTTCGAGAAAATTCTTCACATTTAATATTTCATATTAAAATCTTTTCTATTTAGAATTTTTTTACTTAATAAAGCTTTTTTAATGAGTTTAAAGCATTTGTGGCAGAAATTAAACTTCAAATCATCTTTGTAATCTTTTGAAAGGATTTATTTTACTCCTGAAATTAAAAATTATTGCAGAACTATTTAATTATTGATAAAATCTTGACCACGAATTACTCAGAATCAGATTTATTGTTGCATTCGTTTATTTTGCTTATTAATCTGTATGAATTTTTAAACAGATAATTTACTTTTGGATCCCCTTAACCTGTAATGCGAGTGGTTTTCAAATAAATCAAACCAACAGCTTTCGTAGCTTATCTTGCCTAAGGATAGTGAAGTAAGCAAACCAATGAGTAAACAAAGATTACCTTCAAGCTTTTTTATATTCAATATAAAGCTTTTGTGTTGCTCGGGTACAAAAGAATTTTTACATAACATTTACATAATGCAATAAAAAGAAAATTCCCTTAAAAACAAAACCATTCCTACAAGGCATCGTTTCGGAATTTGATGTTACTTTCAATCATGAGAAATTCTAAGAAACAATATATTAAGGTTCCCATTAAAATATTTAATTTCCATGATATTTATTTAAAATGAAATCTTTTTGAAGACGTTCTTTTTCTGATAATTTTTTTTTCAAATAAAAGGAGGGATTTGATCTTTTTTTGAATGATTATTTTTAGCAGTCAAATGCGTACTTAAAGATGTCATTGAGATTTTGGATGAAAAAAAGAACATATTTTTTTAATTTAAAAATAAATCAATGATTTGGTAAGCTGAGTAAATCAACTTTTTAAATGTCAAAAAAAAGAATAGAATTTGAGATGATTTCAGTCTTAAAATATGATTTTAAATTGATAAAAATTGAATTTTGGTTTTTTAAAGCTTCTCAAAATTTTTCGACCTTTAATATAATTAAATTTCAAGACATTCACTTTAAAACAAATAACAATTTTATTACAAGTCTATCAACACTTAATCAAAAATACATCATTAATTAATTTTGGAAGTGACAAGCCAAAAAAATATTTTTTTTCGAAAATTTTTAAATTAATTTTCATTAGTCGCTGATAAAGTAATTAATGACATAATTTATCCATAGACAAAATTATCTTATTTATCGCTATGTAATCTATCTTTAAGATTCCTAATAATAAAGTCTTTAATTCCACTTCATTCTGAATAATTCATTATAATCTGAGGAATATAATTACATAGACAACAATGGACGGGAAATGAATAAAAAAATATAGCTTTATGGAAGATAGAGCTTCATGTTCGGAGGTAGAATGAAAATTTTTGGCTCGTGAATACTTATTAATGAAATTAATTTGATAAAATCGTATTGCATAATTGATTCTTAAGCTACGGTTCTCGGATATCTAAAAATAAAAATTGTTTTGTTGGCCATGCTTCATTCGATGAAATGAATGGCATAAAAAACCTCTGTGAACTTTTTATTTGCAAACAAAGGAAATGGGTCGAATACATGAATGATATCCATCAAAAAGAATTATTTATGGATAGGCTGGCCATAAGTTTTTGCCGATCTTCGGTCAAAAAGCTACACGTGTCGCGATTTCAGCTCTGGAAAAGCTCAAAAAATCAGTATAGTCCAGCTCAAATGTGCACAGCTGGACAGCCTACCCATGGGGTCTTGTTGTCACTCAATACTTCAACTAAATCAATGATGAACATTAAAAACCCCAAAGGTAAAAGTCTCACAATTGAATATTCAATAAGGTTTGAAAAAAGGAAAACTTACTGAGAAAATTGAAAAGTTCTTAACTAATTTGCACAATCATATGAGAGCAGGACATGGAATTATTAATACACAAATGTCCAATAAATTAATTCAACACCTGTAAAACCCTAATTAACACTTATGGTATTAATAAATCTTTTACCCTCTATCTTGTTAAATAATATTAAGCTACAAGAGCTCCCTTTTCCTTTTTATTCACTCATTCATTCTCCACATATGCGTACATACGCACAAATTGAATTTCATCGCTTCTTCCTTATTCCACTTATTCTTCCGGCAACTGATGTGCACAAAAAAAAACTTCGATGTTTCTACATTGTAAGCTGATCCGTTCTTAAATTTTGTTTATGGCTTTAATTTTCCTT